TTGCATGGCCTTGGTTTCCACAAAAATTAGACAACTTGCTGGGAAATGTGACAATCATATTTGACTGCAGTGATGAGAATATTTGAAGAAGCAGATGGAAAAATGTTCTAATTTCTTATATAAAGCATCAAAATTCTAATTGTGAATGTGAAATCAATTCAGGAAAATGGCATATATTGTCATGTGCATGCACTAGGCACAACAAAGAGACATGTTTATACATCTGGGATTTAATGCAGTTAGCTGGTCTGGGCGAAACAGAAAGGGCTTTTGAACACAATGATGGTGAGATCAAATGCTTTGACAAGCAATTTTCTTACAATTTTCATACATACAATATGTTCGAATGAAACTCTACTGTTGCATTGCCAACTTCAGTCTATAATTGAAACCCTGATGGTGCAGCAATAACATGCATGTATATGCATTTTTTCTACTGATTTCATTGGTGAGACATCTGGTCAATGGGCAATGACATGAGATAAGATATTGATAAAAAATGGCAAGATTGGGTCAAAATTCCATGTCTATGAGTCAGGGGACGAACATGTCTCATTCACACTGGCACTCCTGCGTTTAGCTTTTCTAAACACAGAAGAAGTTGTCTGGGAAATAATAAAAACACTTTACGGCCTCATTCTCACCTGCGTTTGGGGCTGACTACAATTTCCTGCAGAAGACTCAGTGGGTTCCTTGCAAACAGCTGGATACAAACAGTCTGCATCCAGGGCCTATCATCCACAAGTAATTGCTGCATGTTCGAATACATGTGAACAGCAGAAAATGACTGTGGGCACAGTCAGCTTCTTATTGCTGTGCATCATCTTCCTGCCTGCAACTGTTTGCAGCAAGCCCGAATGTGTCTCCCGCCGTAAATCGTAGTCAGCCTCAAACACAGGTGGGAATGAGCCTTTATGCATCCCAGATTACTCCTTCCTACATGTTCTTGATTTAGGCGTGTTTACATGGGTTTGGCCATGTCTAAAGAAGTGGTAAGCAGCCTGCGGCTCTCCAGCTGTTGTGGAACTACATTTCCCATAATACATTGCAAGACTGACAGTTACAGTTATTACTCCAAGAGGCAGAGACATGATGCAATATGTAAAACATGTAGTTCTGCAATAGCTGGAGGGCCGCAGGTTGCCCACCCCTGGACTAGAATGTCTAATTGGATCTTGGACACAGGAGATTAAACTGACTGCACACAAATGCAGTGTGGACGGCACCATGACATGAATGTATTTGTATTAACCACTTGTCCTCTTGAGGATTTACCCCCCCCCCCCTTCCTAACCAGGCCATTTTTTGCATTACGGCGCTGCATAAGTTTAAGTGATAATTGCGCGGTCATGCAACGCTGAAACTAAATGAAATGTACATCCTTTTTTTTCCCACGAATTGGGCTTTCTTTCGGTGGTATTTGATCGCCTGTGCGTTTTTATTTTTTGCACTATAAAAAAAAAGACTGACAATTTTGAGAAAAAAGCTATATTTTTGACTTTTTGCTATTAAACATGTCAAGTAAAAAAATTTAAAAACTCAAATTTCATCATAAATTTAGGCCAAAAAGTATTCTGCTACTTGTCTTTGCTAAAAAAAATCCCAATACGTGTACATTAATTGGTTTTTGTGAAAGTGATAGCGTTTAAGTAAACCAATGGCGGGTATATATACTGAAATGTTTTTTTTTTACCAGTAATGGTGGTGATCAGCGACTTATAGCTGTACTGAGGGACTGCGGCGGGCATTCTGACACTAGGGGGAACTGACTGACATCCCCAGTGACACCAATACAGTGATCAGTGCTAATAAAAAGCACCAACACTGTACTAATGGCACTGGGCTGGAAGGGATTAACAAGAGGGGCTATCAAAGGGTTAACTGTGTGCTTGAAGTGTTTTGCTGGGGGGCAGTGTGTTGGTGTTTCACTGTAAGCACACTGCTCTGGATGGCTGTGCCGACAGAGAAGATGACTGTGATTGACCCAGTGATTGACAGCTGCGGCCACGACAGGGAGGAGGGCTGTTAGTAAACAAAGCAGCCTTCCTCCCTGTTGGAGATCCTCTGTAATCACCGGGCACTGCCAGGTAATCACCGGTCAGGACCCGATGATTGACAGCCGCGGCCGCAAATCGCGGCGCAGGTAGGGCGCGCGCCCCCTACCCGGAAATACAAAATCACGTCTATATATGTGATTTTGCGCACCCTTGCCACCCTGTAGCGGTATTTCTGCTATAGGGCAGCAGGGAAGTGGTTAAGAAATGTCCTCTCATGCCTCATTCCCATGGTCTTACCTATTGGCAGGGGCGTCTTTGCCCACACAGCTGTTCTGTGCATCCACGTGCAGGCAATCCCATTCATGCCTATTGGGACACAGCTGCTGGTCCCAATCTGACAGCTATACAGGTGCGTGTCCCAGATCATGGACAAAACAGCTGTGTATCCTGTGTGGGCAAAAATTGTCGCTTTGCACAGGTGTACGGATAGGTACGCTCCTGTGAATGAGTCCTAAATGCCTATACATGCAGATTTGACACTGCCAATGTGAACAAGGCCTTAACAGGCATAAATATAGGTATATGGTTGTGCTAGACTTTCATGTTTTTATTCTGCTGGAAGACTGTGGACCCTGAGGGTGGTCAAATAGTGCCTACTCCTCTGATCAGCCTTTCATGTCTATGGACACCTTTAGTTACGGATAGGAAGCAATAAGCTAGCTGTTGTTTGTTCAATGTCTGTTACAGACAGGATACATTTACACTCCAGTCCTGCCGATTTTCTGAAAAGATCACTAACACTCCCATAGCTCCCCGCAGAAGATATATGTTGACACTTCCACTTTACTGGGAAAGTAAATCACAGCTTTGTAAAGCTGCAAGTTAATTAAAACTGTCAAGGTCAGGAAAAAATATTGTTTGGCAATTTTCACAAGAGGATCTCTTGTTACTAAACAAACAATTTTCTGCTATATGGTACATGACTCCCTCAGTAAAACATATAGGGCAATGCTGGCTGTTATGCTTCCACGCTTTAATGATCAGATTAGGTAACAATTATCCTAGCTTTGCTAGCAGATGGGTCATCTGTGGCAGACTTTGACTGAAACAAAGTATGTGTAAGACCTCTTGCACACTGTACTCCAAAGGACTCCTTGGAGAAAAGCAGCTGGAAAAATATGGTAAAAGCTGCCTTAATGCATTCATTTGGGCAAAATAATAATTTATTCTGGTTATTAGAATGTATTGATGCAGGAACAGGCATAAACGCACGTTTTTGCACTTTTTAAAGCCCTTTTCAGAACATGCAAGCAATGTTTTTTTTTACCTGCACCTCTAAGCATGCCTGCTTCTAAATGTTTGTAAATGCCTTTGTGTGCATGGACACATGCTAATATGGAGGGGCATTTATAGGCAAAAAAAGCCTGTAAAACGGCACTTTTGAGCTGCAGTGTGCACGAGGGCCTTAAGAGAATTGCTTGCTGTCATGATGAAAAAAATAGGAACATGGGCAAAAGCTTAATTTGCACATGCATTTAGCCCAGCGGGCAAGAATATACTGATTCCCACGGCTGTGATTGACAGCTGTGTGAAGTGCTGTGCAATGACAGGCTGTAGGTGGCCGCATCTGTTCATGACAGGTTGCACAGCCAGTGATTACCAGTGTTGATCATAGCTAGATGCACACAAAGCTGCATCTTTTTTAACAAAAAAACAAAAATGCTATCGGTCGTTCAATAGGACAACGTTACCACCAACAGTAAAAAAAAAAGTCGGCCGATTTTCTTCCCGCCTACGGCCAGCATTTAATTACTTCTGTCCCTGCAGAGAGCCCCGCTATTATATTTGACATTGAAAAGTATTGTGGTTGCAACATTGTATCTATTTGTATCCATTTCGGATACAGATGGTTTTTTTCCGGATACAAATAGATACAATGTTGCAACCGCAATACTTTTTCATGTCAAATATAATAGCGGACTGGAATTCTTCTTCTTTCTCTTCTTCTTCTTTCTCTTCTTCTTTCTCTTCTTCTACTTCTTTTTCTTCTTTTTTTTGCAGGTCATGGCTCATGCGCAGATTTTTTATCAGTAAAAAGATCGGCCGATTTGCCCAACATTGCCGCGAAAATCGGCCGATCAGCAAAATCGGCCGATTTTTTCCCAACTTTTCCGATCAAAAAAAATCTGACAAAATCCAGAAAAACAGCCGACCAATTAACCCATTAACGGTGCGAAAATTTGCGACCCATCTATGGCCTGCATTAGTGACTGAAGCTGGTCATGCACCCCCCATGCACCCAGGACATTTTATTCTGACAGCTGTTAAAATAGATTGATCAGCGGCAGCAGTTCATTGGCTGCAGCTACTGATTGATAAAAATATTCCAACATGTCCATTCAACAGAAGTCGATCAACAAATCAATTTCAGCTGAGCGAGTGCTACCATACACTGTCTGAAATTCAGAACGGGTCCCTGCTGAATCGACTGAATTTCAACCAGTTTATCTCCAGCTTTAGAAAGTTTTGAAGCCATTAGATGAGCATGCAAGTTAGGCAACTAGCTTTGTCAGTTGAAAGCAGCCCTGGTAGCTTTCATGTTTTTCTAAGCATAGGTTTCCTTTAACCACCTCCTGCCCGCCATATAGTCCAATGATGGGCGCAAGGTGGTTCTCTCGTTTTGGGAGGACGTCATATGACGTCCTCCCATTCTCACCGTGCATGCGCGTCTCAGTGAGCGCGCGGCAATCGGCGGTGCGCTGTGTCCCTAGGACACAGCAGATCACCGATCTATGGAAAGAGCCGAAGATGTCGGCTTGGTCATGTGATCAGCTGTGTCCAATCACAGCTGATCACATGTAAATAGGGAAATGCCGGTTATCGCCATTGCTGTCCTCACGAACTGTCACGCTGACAGCTCAAGAGGAGAGGAGAGCCTTTAATCGGCATTCCACGGAGGGGACATGTACACTGATCATCAGGGTTCTGATGATCAGTGTGCCCTGATGATCGGTGTGGCCCCAGAAGTGCCACCTGTCAGTGTCCATCAGTGCCAGCTGCCAGTGCTGAACAGTGCAACGTGCCAGTGCACATCAATGCCACATATCAGTGCCCATCTGAGCTGCCTTTCAGTGTTACCCATCAGTGCCAGTCAGTGCCACCTATCAATGCCAATCAGTGCCACCTATCAGTGCTGCCAATCAGTGCCACTTATCAGTGCCAGTCAGTGCTGCCTATCAGTGCCAGTCAGTGCCGTCTATCAGTGTGCATCAGTGCCGCCTATCAGTGCCAGTCAGTGCTGCCTATCAGTGACAGTCAGTGCCACCTCTCAGTTCCACCTATCAGTGCCATATATCAGTGCTGCCTTTCAGTGCCCATCAGTGATGCCTGTCAATGCCCATCAGTGCCACCTACCAGTGCCTCCTCATCAGTGCCCATCAGTGCCACCTATCAGTGTCCATCAGTGCAGCCTATCAGTGCCCATCACTGCAGCCTCATTAGTGCACATCAGTGAAGGAGAAAAATCACTTATTTACAAAAGTTTACAACAAGAACTAAGAAAAAACATTTTTTTTCAAAATTTTCAGCTGTTTTTGGTTTATTTAAGAAAAAATAAAAAACCCAGAGGTGATGAAATACCACCAAAATAAAGCTCTATCTCTCAAAAAAAATTATAAAAATTTCATATGGGTACAGTGTTGCATGACCGCACAATTGTCATTCAAAGTGTGACAGCACTGAGAGCTGGAAATTGGCCTGAGCAGGAAGAGGGTATAGGTGCCCTGTAGGCAAGTGATTAAACTGGCCATACACACATAGATGTCTTACAGTACATTCAGCCTGTTGGCTGAACAAAAGAAATCTAACAGATTCCTTCACCCACACTTAAAGTGGTTCTAAAGGCAGAAGGCTTTTTACCTTAAAGTGGTTGTAAATCTCAGACATGAAATATGAACAAAGCATATCCTTCTATTGTGTGTACTTGTCTCTATTAGGAGCACTAAGTGCCACTTCTGTCCGCTGCTTCATTCCTCTGCTATCAGCATGAATTAGTTGATAAGTTTTCCCGACACCAAGAGAAAAATGGTGACGGTGGGATCTCCAGCAGATTGACAGCCTGAGCTCTGTTCCTGTGTACTGTGTGAAGGGGGGGTGCATCCCTTATCTCCAATCAGCTCTCAGAGCTCTTCTCACTGAGCTAGGAAGTGTGTAATTTCAGCTCTCCACCCTCTTTTTTCTGAACTCTCAGACAAGTGTTAAGATGCAGCATTTTACCTGCATGTAGAGAAGAGAATACTGCAGAAAAACAGGTACAACCAATGTAGGAGGATTTGTTTAAATACCTGTATCACCTGAGACCAGTCACTTTACTGGGTATCTGCAAGGGTTTACAACCACTTTAATGCATTTTCTGCATTAATGTAAAAACCTTCTTCATGCAGCTTCTCCCCCAGCCCCCCTTATGCATACCTGAGTCTGATCTTGATCCAGCAGCGGCTCACTCAGCTCTCTAGCTCCTCTCTTGGCTCAGAGACAGCAGTGGGAGCCATTGGCTCCTGCTGATGTCAATCACAACCAGTGAGGAGGGAGTGGGAGGAGGGGTCAAGCTGCGCTGTGTGCATTAATGAACACACAAAGCGGGGCTCGGGAGCAAGCATGCACAAGTGCCACATTTACAAGTAGTTTTCTATGGGGGCATTCGGCGAGGGGAAGAAGCCAGGAGCGCCGGCAGGACCCCCGAGAACAGGAGGATAAAGGCTGCTCTGTGCAAAGCCATTGCACATAAAAGGTAATTATAACTTGTTTGCTATTTTTTTTTTAATGAGCATTTACAGTCACTTTAAGAGCACAGATGGGGGGATTTTCTCTGTTGGCTATTGTATTCTGACAACCAGCACTTTTGGCTGTCAGAATACTCAAACAGTGGCTACATTTGATTAGATTTTAGAATTTTCCACTGATAGAGTTAGTCAAGAATACTGCTAGTTTCCTGCAAGACACAACTGACTTTCTGAACAAGATCAACAACATACAGCAATTACCATCTAATACACTTCTAGTGACTATGGATGTAGTATCCCTGTATAGTAATATCCCTCACAAGGATGGATTAGCTGCATGTCACAGATCCTTAACATCCTCACCAAACCACAAATACACTGCTGAGGATGTTACACAGCTCATTGTATTCATACTTACACACAACTACTTTACTTTCAATAAAGACATCTATCTTCGATGTATGGGTACTGCAATGGGAAGTAAAATGGCACCCCAATATGCCAATTTATTTATGGCTGACCTGGAGGAAAAATTCCTGAACAGCATGGAACAAAAATCATGCAGATACTATCGATATATTGATGATATTTTCATCATTATTATTATACAGCGCTAAAAGGTTTGCTCAGCGCTGTACATCATAGTGGGGGACAGTACATGAGACAAAACAGAACACGAGGGATTCAGGGGCCCTGCTCTTTCGAGCTTACAATCTATGGACAGAAGGTGAAGAAAACCTAAAACAATTTTACTCATTGATCAACACTTTTCATCCATCAATTAAACTAAAAATGGAATACTCAAACACACACGTCAACTTCCTAGACACCACAGTATACATCAGGGATGATACGCTTCACACCTCAATATTCAGGAAACCCACTGACAGATGCAACTACCTCCACAGTTCCAGCTTCCACCCCCAACACACGAAACGTGCCATCATACACAGTCATGCCATTAGATACCACCGAATATGTTCTGACCCAAGAGACAGAGATAAACATCTCGGGACACTAGCAGATTCCTTCCATAAGAAAGGTTACAAGGACAAAACTATCAGCACCAGCATAAACACAGCCTTGAGAACCCGAAGAGAAAATCTACTTCAGTACAAGGAGAAAAAAACAAACAACCGTGTACCTCTAGTAACCACATACAACCCAGCACTAGAAGGGATAAGAAAAATAATCAAAGATTTACAACCCATCATAACAGAGGATAGAACTCTGAAAGAAATATTTCAGCAACCCCCAATACTGGCCTTCAGACAACCCCCCAACCTCAGAAACAAACTAATCAGTAGGAAAGTTCCTTCTGATCAATATGTCACAAATAATGGAAGCAAAACCCTGCAATAGAAAATGCTGCAAACTGTTCAACCAAATCAATCCATCAAAAAGTGTCAGACACTCAAAAGGGATCTTCAATATTTCCGGATCATATAGCTGCACCTCCAGTAATGTTGTGTACCTTATCCAATGCAGATAATGCAGCAAAGGATCTTATGTTGGCGACACAGGAGAGAAGTTGCAAACAAGGATGAATTTGCACAGATATACCATCAAGGAACATAAAGAAGATGACCTCTGCACACCTGTGGGACACCATTTCGCACAACCAGGCCACACAATGGGAGACCTCAATATTTTAGTTCTTAAAGGAAATTTCAAATCCATTCAGGAAAGAAAAACTTTTGAACTAAGACTGATAATTCTATTTGACACAAGAGATAACGGCCTGAATTTGGACATGGGATTCCTTAATCATTATCCAACGGTTTTATCACCTCAAGCATGACTGCCTCTGTGTGAGTGTAGTATTTCCCCCCCCCCTTCGCTTTTGCTGTCTCCTATCTCTAGCCTCTTTTTTTTTTTTTTTTCATCCCTTCTAATATTCTGCTAAAACTTTGTGCTTTGTATTTGTATAGTATTGCTTGGACCTTGAAGAAGGGGACATACCCCGAAAGCTTGTCCTCAAAATTGTATGTTAGTGCAAATAAAAAAAGTATCACGGACAGTACTCAATTGTTTCTGCCACTGATAGAGTATATGTAAAGGCAGATTTTAAATGCATTTAATACAGGAATTTATTAAATAAAAATTCATATACATTTTAAAAATAACAATCTCAGTCTCAGTCTGTGTGTTGTCCAGGGGCAGACTGACAACTCATGGGGCCCCCGGGCAATAGGGGATCATGGGGCCCCTGTGTCCGTGCCCAAACTCAAAAAAGCCTATGAAAAAGGTACCAGGGGCATCTCATGGGGCCCCCTACTGACCCCGGGCCCTCGGACAGTGCCAGAGTTTCCAAATGGTCAGTCCGCCCCTGGTGTTGTCCTAACTCTAATCCCCTGCACATTAGAATTCAAGGTAGGACAGGGTAGGGCAGCACTCTAAGCCAGTCAGGCTGTACAGTATAGTACAGCGCTGCCAAAATAATAGCCAGAGTTTTCTGATTGGAGGAGAGAGCGCAGAGATAACATCATCAGTAAGACATTGCTATCCAATCACAACCTTAACCAGTGTCAATTGCTTTAAGTAAGGTGGAGAAAAGAAAATGATCAGGGCTTGATATGATGTATAGATTGAAAAACTGGCCAAATAGTGTTTTGGCATGTAAACATTTTACGCATTCGCTTTACTTATTCTATAGATTTTAAGTGATCAATACAGGAATAAAATACCATGCAGATAATTTATTGTGCAATGTCTTACTGTATAATGAAACAAAATATTGTGGGTAATAAAATTAATTATTGTAGAAAAAGTTTTGTTTGTGTGTTTTCTATAAAACATTTGCACAATTACAATAGCAGTATAATCATTAAACTAGGTAAATAGAATATGCTGGCCACAATTAGGATTTATTTTGTTCAGCCCTGCAGGTTGATTGGAAGAAATCGCTTGTTTCCCCCATCCACACTAAACAGCATGGAAAGACAAATCTGTAGTGCCAGTTATTGTATTCTGACAGTCTGCACCCATGGCTGTCCGAATAGCCCAACATTGCCTGCATCTGACTGGACGCAGGCACTGTTTAGTCAATCATTTTCCACCTGGCTCCTTTTACGAAGTAGATTGAAAAATCAACTTTTGCCAATCCGGGTGGTGCCGACAGGGTCACAAATGTTTACAGATTCATCAGGAATTGGTAAAAATTTGACTAGTGTATGGCCAGCTTAAAGCTAGCCAAAGACAGCTAGATTTTCCCTTGAAAATTGATTGATCCCCTATCCATGCTAAAGTCTAGTACACACAATCAGAACATTGTACATAAAATACCGCTTTCGAAGCAATTGTACACTTCTCTGATCATTAATACACAGCTTTTGTCCAAAATTATTGGGGAAAAGCACAAAATATTTTCTGTTATGATTCTTGTTAGTCAGTACAATTTTTGTCTAAAAATACAATACAAATACATTAAATAAATTCCGAATTTTTTATTCTGCCCTACAATAATTTTCGTAATTTCAATAACCTCTTCTGGGGCTGCTGTTAGAAACCATGGGCCCCATACAGCCAACTATACACAGTTTACAATGCTTCAGTTATGAATGGACACAGTGAGTGATTGGTGCCAATCACTCATGTTCATTCAGGAAAGGAAGAGTGACATATGTGACATATTTACAGGATCCTTCCCCCAACTCTCCATCCTGAAGGTTCCTATTTTGTGCTTGCAGCTGCCTTTGGAAAGGAGGCAGGAAGCCGCCATCAGTGTGGCGG